CCAGGAAAGCACTTATTCCACTGAGCCATCTCCCTGGCCCCCTATTTTCTTAAAATTCATAAAATTTATATTTTTCCTTTCATTTCAAGTCATATACTCATTTTTAAATTTTTAAAGTAGGCTTTTTGTCTTCTTTAATCAATATCTAAGAGTTCCTCATATATTCTTTTTCAAATTTAATTTTTTTTTGAGAAACAAGTATCAATGAGATAGTTTCAAAACTGATTAATAGGACAGTCTCAATAATTAATACATTGTACATTGTTATCTTCTTAGTGGTTATCCACAGTACAAGATGCAGACAGGATATCCTGTGCAAACACTATTAGTACAAATCTTTCTTCTCAGTGAATTAAGAGAAGGTAGCTGTATATCTATCCTAACTATTCTGCATATACAGACACAAAATGGTCCTTCCTTTGTATCTCCTTTTTTTGTTTAGTCCTGTCAGAGATGGGTATTCCATTGGATTCTAAATGCTATAGGTGTGTGAATTCAGCAAAACAATCAAACACAGTCCAGCAGTCCACAATAGTAGCGGGTTTTCTGCAGAAGTTGTTGACTTGAGCCTTTCACAGCTCAGCATATTAATATGGCTTTACTTTATATACCTCGTTTTTATACTTGTATCTGATAAGGTCAGTGAAATTCTTCTTAAAGATGGAGAAAATTATGTAAGGCCCTGACTAGATTAAAATTAGATCAGATAGTCCATGAGAATGCTTTCACCTCTGACCTGGCACAGTCTCAGTTGTATCTTGTCATTATGAAAGCTTTGTGGAGGGGAGGGTTTCAGGGACTCTTTGAACAGTAGAAGAGCAGCAGCTCTTTTATTGCTATGGGACAGTATTGTTTTGACTCATGTCTGCTTATGCAGACTTCCCTCCCCCCGCAGATACTGCCAGTGTGCATACAACCTGACGCACAGTTGTCCCCAACCAGCAGTTTGTTCCACCTCAAAGTGGCTGGTGAGGTCTGGGCAGGTTCTGTAGGCAGGAAGAGGAGGGAAGCTCAGGGGCCCACCACGCGGCTGCTTAGCTAGTTAGCACTGATGTTCTGATTTGAAAACCTGACTAGCCTGACCTTTGCATCTCCCCCTCTGTTCCTTATAGACTCTTGGATTTCATCAACATCTTGTCTTATGATTTACATGGAAGCTGGGAAAAGTTCACAGGACATAATAGCCCCCTTTTCTCTCTTCCAGATGACCCCAAATCTTCGGTAAGGAAAGAACTCATGCACCCTAGACATTGATCCTTGAGCCCAGACCATTTTCCATTAGAAGTAGGGAGGCCAGGCATGGTGACACATACCTGTAATTCCAGTCCTTTGGGAGGCTGAAAGAGGAGGATCACAAAGTCAAGCCCCTCTAGAGCAATTTCGTGACTTTATGAGACCTATTCTCAAAATAACACGGACTGTTGACATAGCTCAGTAAATCTAATTTTTAGTATGTGTTGGGGTGAGATGAGAGAAAGCAAGCAAACAAGCCAGCACATGAATGAGCCAGCCACGCAGCTGAGGATGGTGGTGCACACCTGCAATCCCAGCGCTCAGGAGGTTGAGGTTGGAGGATTACTGTGAGTTTGAGGCTAGTCTGGGCTATATAATGAGTCCAAGGCCAGCCTGAGCTACATAGTAAGTCCCTGTCTCCAAAGAAAAAAGAGGAAAGAGAGACATGGAAGAGAAGAGAGAGAGAGAGGAGAAGAAGAAGAAAGAGAGAGAGAGAGAGAGAGGGGAAGAAGAAGAAGAAGAAGAAGAAGAAGAAGAAGAAGAAGAAGAAGAAGAAGAAGAAGAAGAAGAAGAAGAAGAAGAAGAAGAAGAGAAGAAGAAGAA